GACGCAAGCTTTTAGACTTTTACCGTTTGCATCTTCTCTCCCTCGGTCAAAAAATGCTTACTGTATACAAATATAAAATAATAACTACTACTATTTGTTTCAAACTTTAACTTCTAGAAGTTGATGAAAAAACAATTAAAGATAACCAAGAAGCTTCTGATAAAGAAGCAGAAACACATTGCGCAGTCAGCGCATGCTTTCAACTTATACCTCGGTAACTTACAAAGGATCTCTGTTCATGTGTGGTCCTAGTGGTGCAGCATTGCTCTTTTCGTTGTAAGAAAGAAACCTAATTAAACTTAAGGATATTTACAACTAGCATTGCATAGCCTAATCCAATATTTTCCATCCCATCCGTAATAACAGCAATAATGACCATAGCAACAGCGCAAGCAAATCATCATCCAGTAACAATATGGTCATATTAGAAACGACAGATAGATGAACTCGTAGAAGGCTTATCAATACAGAGAAGCAAGTCCAATACAAATCCATTGGTTCCACAAAAAAGGCCAAGAAAATCAGCTCAACCGAACATTTTTCCTTACCCTCTTGCTCACCCATATATATAAATTTGTGCCTTGGTGCTGTAATTTCTTCAAAAACCAGCTACGTACAACAGCTGCACGTATTCTGTAATTTATCACCGAAAATTGTTGTAGATGAAAATAATGAGAGGTTTCTTGGTATTCTGCTTGTTAACCCTATTGCTCGTACAACAAACGAGTTGCTCCATCCAACAAGAAAAGCAACTAGAATTTCAAGAAAAGCTGCAAAAGTTTACCACCTCTTGTCATTCATGTCAAAAGCACAAAACTTCACGCAATAAGGTAGTGAGAGATATTTGACAAGTTCGAGGCTATTGATATAATATTTCAAAAAAAAAAAAACAATGTCAATGATTAATCCCCTAAGAATATACCAACTTCTCCTTTTAATTTTCACTAAATTGAATGATATATATATATATATATATATTTTCTGTTGATGTGTGTTTTTTTGAAGGAGAGAGTATTTTATCCAATTAATACGGGGCGGACCCAACTGGGGAGCGAGACAGCAGTGATGCCATATTGAAAGCTTTAAGCTACGCCTCTCGAGTGCAAAATGAGCTTGAGTTGTTGCCTGGCATCAATGACTTGGCTGGTGTTGTGATTGATTTGCAGGGTGGAAACTACAAAATTAGTAAACCCATTAGGTTTCCAGCTGGTGCAGGCAATATCCTGGTGAGTACTATCCCATCCTGTTCATTCATATCCATATACAGCGATATTTTACATATCGAAGTAGTACTGGCTTGTGAACTGATTAAAAAAAACACTTCCTGATCATTTTTCTCTTTAGACTAAATACATTTCTATGTTTTGAAAATGAAACATCTTTTCATAATGTTTACCTTGAAATTTCTAGTAAAAGAAAGGCTAATAATCGAGCATGTTGACTAATCCATAAGGTACACGCGGGAACTTTGCGGGCATCTGACGATTTTCCAAGTGATCGTTACCTCGTTGAACTGTGGTCACCAACTTCTACGGTAGTTCCCAAACCTTCCAATATCCATCCCGACGGAGGAGAGAAAAAAAATGTTGGTATATACTACGAGGACGTCACCTTTCGGGACATCCTGTTCGATTCAAGCTATCGCGGAGGGGGAATGTTCATCATTGATTCAGCAAGAACTCGCATACATAATTGCTTCTTTATCCACTTCACAACCGAAGGAATTCTAGTCCAAAAGGGCCACGAGACCTTCATATCAAGTTGTTTCCTAGGACAACGTGTTACAATTGGTGGTGATCCAAGAGAAAAAAACTATACCGGAACTGCCATTGATCTTGCAAGTAACGATAATGCAATCACAGATGTTGCCATTTTTTCAGCTGCTATTGGAGTATTAATAAGGGGTCAAGCAAACATTCTTACCGGGGTACACTGCTACAACAAGGCAACTGGGTTCGGTGGCGTAGGGATTTTAGTGAAACCACAAGGATCCTTGACTAGGATGGATAATTGTTACTTGGATTGGACAGCTATAGTCATGGAAGATCCCGTTCAAATTCATGTGACTAATGGTTTCTTCTTGGGAGATGCTAACGTAGTGTTAAAAGCAGCCAAGGGTAAAATGTCCGGGGTAACCATTGTGGATAATATGTTCAAATCGGATGCAAATTCTATGAATCCTATTGTTCAATTAGATGGGAATTTTGCTAGCATTGATCAAGTGGTGATCGATAACAACAATGCCGTAGGTATGACAGTGAAATCAACCGCCGGGAAGTTAACAGTGCCTGGAAATGGGACAAAATGGGTGGCAGACTTTTCATCCATATTAGTATTCCCAGATCGGATTAATCATTTCCAGTACTCTTTCAATTTTCAAGGGGTTCCAGTGGCATTCCCAGCACATGGAGTGACCAGTTTATCAAATAATGTGGTGGTTGTTGTGAGTGACAGAACTGTTAATGGAGTAGTTTCTGTTGCTGTTGATCAGTATAATAGGAAGGGGGAGTAGAGATTGAAATTGTTCTAAATATTTATAATATTCAAATGGTTTTTTTTGTGAATCCACTATATAAATGCATATACAGCTTCTTTAAGATTTGTATTTGATACTCCTTCTGCAATTTTTTTTTTTGTAACGGTTCTATTGCAAATAATTTTTTTCATAACATAAAAAGAAAATATTAAAGTGATGCTAATATTTTTTTAAAAATAAAAAAATACAAGATCTAAATTATAGACTTAACTATATTCAATAAACTTGATTAATGTAATAATATAATTTTAAAAAAACATCATAAATAATGAAAAAAAAGTTAGCAATTAACTATAAAAAATAATAAGTCAGTGCCATACCATGAAAAAGAAGAAAATACTTTTTATTAGAAAGCTACCGGTGCTCCATTATGAATATAGTAGCTTAACCATTAAAAAAAGCTTATCAAAACAATTTAAATATCATTATAAAAGGCTGCTTGATGATACGTACCAAGAGAAATTGCACCTGCAGTTAAAGCAACAATCTAAAAAGTAAACTTATGAGATGAGTATCTTATATGTATATTTAATTAATTAATTTAATATAATTGAAAAATAAAAATTCAAAAAAAAATTAACAAAAAAAAATAAATAAAAAAATTGGAGAAAACTTGAGTCAGTATCAAAATTAGAGAAATAACTTATAGAAAGCGTATTAAAAAAAACAGAGCCTAATTTTTAATAAAAAAATACTTAAGAATTATACTAAAAAAATATAAATTTAAAAAAAAAATTAACTCGAATAAATTTTTTATATCTGGATTTATCTCTCAAACTTATAATCCATAAAATCTTAAACTTAGACTCAATTAAAAAACTTAATTTTTAATAAATATAATATTAAAATATGAAATTAAAAAAATTTAAAAATTAACAAGGAAAAAGAAATAAAAATTAAAATAAGAAGAACAAATTGGTTAAAAAAATTTATGAAAGTTGAAATCATTAAAAAAAAATTAAAATTTAAAAATTATTTTAAATAAAAAAATATCAATTAATAAAATGTGGACCAAATCTAAAGAGAAAATTGAAGAGAGTGAAATTAAAAAAATAATTTAATAAAACAACTTGAATAAAATAAATAAGATTAAATGTGAAGATCTAATAAATTGACGGGATGCTTTTGAAATTTTAAGAGTAAATTTAAAAATCAAGAAAAAAAAAAAAGCACTCATCAAACTAGAGGTTTGTTTGGAAGACGTGCTGCATTGGGAAGGAGGGAAAGTCGAGCCAGGAATCCATCATGTGACCATCTTATGGTTTCTCACACACTGTCCATAGAGTACATAAACAAACTACACGTTGACATATGTGTTGCACGTGTTAGCCAGGTTTATTTTTAATAATATCTATATTAAATCAATTAGAGAGGAGCCCTTCGACTAACTTGCTCATTATATATATAAAAAAGTAATATGAAATACACCACAAATGCGCCCTGTACTTTAGTTATAAAACGTTTGCCTTTAAAGTCAAATAAGTCATTTCAATGTTTTTAATAAAATAAAAACATGATAAAGCCTTTAAAACCTGGCTCACAAAATTTTTCTTTTAAAAATAATTAAATAATTTTATTATGATAAAAAATAATTAAATTTGATATTTTCGTTTATTTTTTTTTGGCATATTAGCTTATATATTTCTTAATTTGTTTTAAAAAGTATAAATAACATCATTTTATTTTTCAATTAAAAAGAAATATGATACTTGAAAACGTATATATAATGCAAGTATTTTCTTCTTTTACATTAGAAAGTGACTTGAAATTCTACCGGGTGAGCAAAGGGACTGGTTTTTACTAGACCAAATTTATAACTCAACTGCTCTAAAATTCAAAAGGAAAAACAATAAAAATAAAAATATTCAGTTCCCAACAGCCACAAGTAATTAATTTCAGTTACTCTTTTTTTATAGAACCAAATTTCAAATAAAAAAAAGGGCATTAAGTAGCATTGAGATTAATGCCAATTTATAAACTACCATGGTAATTATGATCATTCAATGTCTTACGGTAATGACTCACAGTGCTTTGCTATTGTTCTTGCTGTTAAAAACTAGGTTTGTAACAGGTGGGGCATTAGCATTATGAACGAGTAGTAATAATTAATGCAAATAGAAAACTTAGAGCTTCGTCCTCCAACTTGCTTGTTTAATTCTCTCCTTTTCTCTCCCATGTAGATTTCTTTCGTTCTTTCCTTTTACATCTGTTCATGTTTTCTGCTTAACATGGCCAAAGAATTGTACGTTAACTTGTATATCATATTTAGGAGTTTATGTTGGCGGATCTGCCAGCGTAGAATCATTACCACATATGCCCATGACCTCGCTTGAAGTGGCGTAAATTTAAGACAATGGAACCTTTCTCAGCATGCTGTTTTATTGTCTTAATTCTTGTACAAGGTGCGACTTGTTCCATCACACGACAGATCATGACGATAAAATTCCACAAAAAGCTACAAGAAATGGAAGGCTATCAGCCTGTCAATGCCACCTTGTCATTTCCTAAGGCATCCACCACCAAAAAAGTGAGACTTTCTTTCTGTATTACATTGATCGACTTCATATACAAGAAACAAACGTATGTGAATGTGTTTGACATATTGCTTTTTAATAACGTTCGTCGGATGTCATTGAATTGTTAGAATATAGGGAGAGTATTCTATCCAATTGGGTATGGAGCAGATCCAACTGGCGCACAAGAGAGTCGTGATGCCATAATGGATGCTTTATCCGACGCTTTTCGAGTGCAAAATGGGCTAGAATTGCTGCCTGATGTCCATGACTTGGGTGGTGTTGTAATTGACTTGCAAGGTGGAAACTACAAGATCAACAAACCCATAAGGTTTCCTTCTGGTGGAGGCAACATTGTGGTTAGTACTCTTCTACACGTGACTTGATTAATTTCTCTTCAATTATTTCATCGGAACAATGTTTTTCTCTGAAGAAAAAAATATAGTTTGAATTTGAAACGGGAGGAAAGTGGAATAGAGTTATTTAGCCCTGTTTATTTCTATGTTTTAAGTGTTTTTAAAAAAAATTGAATTATTTTTTATTTTTTTATTAACTTTAAATTAATATTTTTAGTGTTTTTAAATTATTTTGATGTGTTGATTTTAAAAATAATTTTAAAAAAATAAAAAAATATTGTTGGTATTTATTTCGACACGAAAAACTATTTAAAAAGTAACGATAATTACAATTTCAAACAAGCGCTTAATCTTTTAACACGAAAAACTATTTAAAAAGTAATGATAATTACAATTTCAAACAAGCTTTTAATATTAAAGCATGAAAACTCTTTGCATTCTAATTAAGACATTGCATATGATTTGTGCAAGGTTTTTTTTTTTCCTGAAGTCTAAACTCTTCTGCCATTTGATATGCCCTTCAGAAGTATTTGTTTCCCTTCGCATAAATTATAATTAAATTTTGGATAATTCATATTAGCATATATATAAATTAAGAGTCTCTAGCCTAAGATATTGATATGAAAAATGCTCTACAATTAGGTGAAAAAAGGGACATTGCGAGCATCGGAAACCTTTCCTGGTGATAGGCATCTTATTGAACTATGGTCACCAAAGTCTAGGATGCATAACAAAAAGGTTTATTATGAAGACATCACCTTCAGGGATATTCTCTTTGATTCAAACTATAGAGGTGGAGGGATTTTCACCATGAATTCAGTCAGAACTCGCATTAATAATTGCTTCTTTATACACTTCACAACACAAGGGATTTTGGTCAAAGAAGGCCACGAGACCTTCATATCAAGCTCCTTCCTTGGACAGCATCCAACAATTGGCGGGGATAAAAATGAGAATAAATTTTCAGGCACTGCCATTGATCTTGAAAGTAATGATAATTCAATCACTGATGTTGTAGTTTTCTCAGCAGCCATTGGTGTTCTATTAAGAGGAGAGGCAAATATTCTGACAGGGGTGCATTGTTACAACAAGGCGAATGTTTTTGGTGGCATAGGAATTAAAGTAAAACCGACTGCATTTTTAACTAGGATAAACAATTGTTACTTAGATTTCACCAACATTGTCATGGAAGACCCAGTTCAAGTTCAAGTCACAAATGGGCTGTTCATTGGAGATGCCTATATAGTTTTACAGTCAATCAATGGCAAAATCTCTGGATTAAACGTTGTGGACAACATGTTTAAAGGGGAAGGCAGAAATTTGAACCCAATAGTGGAATTAGATGGCAATTTCACTAGAATTGATCAAGTGGTGATTGAACGTAACAATGTGAGGAGCATGAGCTTGAAATCAACAGTGGGGAAGCTAACCGTGGCCGGAAATGGAACGAAGTGGGTGGCAGATTTTTCGTCGGTGTTGATATTCCCTAACAAAATTACTAATTTCCAGTATTCGTTCTATGTTGAAGGTGTACCGACTGGGAGTGTAGTGCATGCAGTGACCAATGTATCGAATAACATGGTGGTCGTGGAGAGCAACAAGGTCGTCAACGCAGTTGTTTCTGTGGTGGTTGATCAGAGTAGCATGGCTGAAGAGATCATCTACTAGTAATTATTCAATTTTGCTTTCACTCAACATTGAATAAATATATCACATTTCTGCAATTAACGACGGATAAAGCCATAACTATATGTTCGTATATATTGTTTTCTTTGTACTTTATAGCACCATGTTTTATTTTTATTTTGTTGAACTTTTTTTCCCCATTTTCTACCTTCGATTAAATTATCAAATACTATTTGCATAAAAAAACAACTATGTTTCTGCACATCAGCATATCTAGTTGTATCAAATTTCTGCCTATAAAAAAAAAATGCATAACTAGACAAATTAGAATAGCTAGCTTCAAACTTTAGGGTTATTAAAGGTTCATCTAGTCATTAATTTTAAAGTTTCAGGAAATTAGTTGAAATGTTTATAAATTAAAGAAAAAATGGTAAAGCAATTTTACACCCTGGAATACTCTAGTTCAAGACTACCCTTTTCCCCTCTTGCACATGAAATAAATAAATAATACATAAAATTAGAATGAAAAACACACTATAAGGTTTAAGCCCTTTAAAAAATAAGGTATTTAATCAAGTGTTCAAATTGTTAGATTCATTTTCTATTGCAAAGGAAGATGGTAACTTAATATAAAAACCCTAACATTTGTAAAACAATTCTTTTTGGATGAATTTAGAACCCCTCAAATATTTAAGTTAATAATTTTATTGAGAAAAAAATGTAGTAAATATGCAAAAACATTAAATTTTAAGAATAAAATTGTTTGTTTTTATTTTGATATGCAAATAAGTATTGTAAGAAAATAATATATGTATGTTGAGAATTAATATTATAAACCCCTTACTTGGATAGTTTAAAAAATATTTATATATCATGAATTGTTATTTTTTTTGCTTGAATGAAGAGGATGGAAAGTCAATACATTTCAATAAACATTAATAAGAAATAAATCTTTAACATTTATTTACATAAAGCCACTAAATAGAGAGGAAAGATTTAGGGGTTTAAATCAACTTTGTTAAGCCATATTGGATATTTTAAAACCTGTATAAAAATTTTAGAGTTTGAGTAATTCAAGAAAATAAAAAATAATATGGGAAACTGATTATTTTGTGTATCTTTTAAGCTACTTAGATTAAATGACAAATGTGGATGGTTATGTGTTGGTTGAGATGAATAAACAATCACTTGTATAAAAAAGAAAAAGATAGACATGTGTTCCTGCATTAAAAAGTTAAAACTTTTTTCTAACTATTCACTTATTATATAAATTAAATTAATTTAGCTAAATATTTTATCTCTATCTTCTTTAATAAACTTTTATCTTTATCCCTAGCAATTAATTTCTTTATGGTATATTAAAAAATTCTATCGGAAATATCAGCAATTCCGTTGCTGTGTTGGCTGTTATTGTGCTTTGTTAAAGGAAGAAGAATTGAGGAGAGGAGACTAACTGTCGAGCTTTAATTTAATTTAATATTTTTAATAAATATTTTATCAGTAATTCTATCAATAATTTCACATGTTTTTTATGCTATGAAAATTTTTCATTACAATTTCTGTCGGAAAACAGCAACATAATATTTTCTATCAGTATTTGCGTTCCAGTTTTCTGATTTTATGGTAATGAATAGAAAAAAAAAATATTTAAATAGAAAAAAGAAAGTACAAACACTTAATAATAAATTAGATGAAAAGTTCTTGCACAGTTGGCATATGCGCCCACATGCCATATATCAATTTAATAGGCACATTGACATATATTTTTGACAAAATCTTACTAAAGCACTTGTTGAAAAACAAATCTGAGATTTCAGACATGCAAATAATAAAAATAAAACTAAAAATAATTAAATAAAAAAATTAGTAATTTCGCACATCAAATATATTACAATTTTGAAGTTTAATTCCAAGAGGATGAATTGGTGAATTTGATTTTGAATTGCATGCTGCTGTGGTTGTCAATTTAATTTAGTATATATTGTCTTTGAATATTTTTTAATTTTATTTTTTAAAATTTAATTTAATTTATTTTTAGATTAAATTTGGTCATTATTTTGATAATTGTTATTTTTTTATTGAAATTTTTTATTTATCAAATTTAATTATCATTATTTTAATTGTTACTTATTTTATTTGAAATAATTTATAAAATTTTAATTATTATTATTATTTTAATTTCATCATTTTTCAATTTTTTTATTTATTAGATTTTATCTCTATTATTTTGATTATTATTTATTTTATTTAAAATAATTTATAAAATAATTTTTTTTTTAATTTTATTCTCATTGAACCTTTTAATTTGTAAGATTTTTTCTTTCTTATTTTAATAAATTTTTAAAAAATAAAACATCAATAAACTATTTTTCAATTTATTTTCTATCATATAATTAAATACTAAAAAGTATTTTCCAACTTATTTTTTATGATATTACTAACTATCAAATAATAATTTACTTTCTAAAAATTTACTTTTAATAAAACACTTTTCAAGAAAAAAAACTAAGCAAATAAATTCTAATATCCTTTCTAATTCACGTTGTTGTTGAAAAAATTTCTTAGGGAAGACTAATTTCAAGAACTTGTGATGCACTTCTCTAAAGAAAGAACACAGTCACTAAAATATCTGGCAGAAGCTTGCGGGCTTCTACTCAACTCCAGTGAAGATCCTGCTGAGAATTAGTCGTCTACTTTTTCCAAAACTTCTTGTGTGATGCAACTTGATGACGGCAACCATTAGGAATCGGGGAAAATCTTTAAGATGAAGAGATGCCTTTTTCTTTCTGGGAAAGCGCATAAACAAAAAGCAAGAAAGACAGTGGATTATCAAGTAAGCATATCCCAGGCCAACACTTCACCAATCATCTTAAAACCACCATCCACTGAGGTTTGTTGTTCATGACCTCATGTTCCCTTGGTGTTTTATTTAACATCTGCTATGTGTGTTTCTCCTCTCCACCTTTTCCCTCTCTATCACCAATACTTATCTTTCATTTTCTCTCAAATTCTCATTCCCTTCTTCATGGCTCAAATTTCACCATCTCCCACACCTAGTCCCACAGTCAGCGCCCCTTCATGCCATGATCAATCCCAGGAACCAACTATGGATTTCAATGTAATGGTCATAGTTGCTGCAATGTTATGTGCCTTAGTTTGTGCCTTGGGCCTCAATTCCATGTTACAATGTGTATTTCAATGCACGCAACGTACGGTAACGGAAACAGCAGAATGGATATCTTCTCACAGACAGAACTCCGGTTTAAAGAGGAGAGAAATGTTAGGTTTGCCAATTTCAACTTATGCCCATCAAGGTTCACCATCATCAACTTCAGGTTGCGCTATTTGCCTAGCAGACTTCACCGACGGTGATAAAATAAGGGTCTTGCCTAAATGCAATCATGAGTTCCATGTTGATTGCATTGACAAGTGGCTACTCTCTCACTCTTCATGTCCTACTTGTCGGCATAGGCTCAAGTCCATTGATGAATCAGTGCCTTCTCTGGAGCAGATAGTCACTGTCTAACGAAGTAAAAAATTTGTTGACTGTTTATAAATATATATGTGTGTGTATGTGTGTGTGTGTGTGTGTGTGTGTGTGTGTGTGTGTGTGTGTGTGTGTGTGTGGTGTGTGTATGTATATTTCTCCTCTTAATTGGCTAGCCCTAGCCTGGTTTCTTGCATCTGTATTTCTTGTAGTATGTTAAACAGAATTGCAAGGAAACTCCTATTGTAAGAATTGTTTCTCCTCTCCATTTTTGTTAACTCTTTATTCGTGTTTGGAAGTGATGGCTGAATGGCCACCATTTTGAAATTTGTCATGGTTCTTTTGTTATAGCAGCAGCTGACATTGATTTTCCCTGTTGGGCTCCGAGTACACATAGGGCATATGCCGATATCATTTATTTAGGTTTACTTTTTTCTTAGCTCTGCATCTTCTGCTTCCGCTTCCTTATGTCAAAACACTCTCTTCGTTTGAGGGTGGATTATTTTTTGTTTTATTTTGGTTTAGTCTTTTTTGTTTCTCAGTCAATTTAAATTGCATTTATTCTTTCCTCTTATTCCACAACATTTCAATAGCTTCAGAGGGTTATTCACTAGTTTCAAGTATGAGCAAACAAGTTTTTGCATCAAATAAGCATATATAAACTTTCAATAGCTTCATAGCTTATCCTCATTGCTTCTAATTTTTAAGATAAGATATTTATGTTGCTTCATCTTCTTTTGAAATAAATTTGTGCAGGTAAAAGGGTACTCTGTGTTTCTTTCGTTAGTGGATGCCATTTTTCTTGGTGGGCATATTAAGTTAAATTTGAAGTTAATATTGATATTAAATTAAAATTAAATTCAAAGGAATGCATCTAAATTAAAATTGCGACAATTATAATGCATCAAAATATTTTATTTTACCTTTTAAAATTTATTCTTAAAATCAATATATCAAAGTAATTTAAAAACATTTTAAAAAATTAATTTTTTAAAAAAAAACAGCTGGACATACTAACAAATAAAAAAATATCCATCATTCCATTTCACATAAAAAAAATTATTTTAAAAAAAAAAAAAACCGGCTGGGCATAACAACAAATAAAAATATATCCATCATTCAATTTCACAATTTTTTTTTTAATTGAACGGAACTAGAAGAAGAGATTCAATTGAAGGGATTTCTTTTTATATTTTATCATGCCATCTACTTCTTTCTTCTCTCTCCTCTCTTTTCTTCTAAGCAATCTATCAAAAAGAATGGGTAGCTATTAATTCTCTCTCCCCTTTTCTTTTAATTGCATCGCTGCCCAAGCGTGTCAAATTTGAAACTCTTAAACTTAATGGAAAATGCAATCTCGAAGATGGATGGGAAAATTTGTTGCTGAAAATGGTATCATGAAAGCGACCTCCACCTTGCATGTGTGAAGGACTTGCAATTGCACGGATTTTCGACGTGATGACACAGAAGCCTGTAGGACAATATAAAGCAAGCAATAATGGCATAGGACAATAAGGACCAGATTGCTCTTCTTCTGTATGTCTGGTGGGGTGTTTTGTCGTTGCACGTCTAAGGAATCCATATCCACCACCTACTTTGCTCGCATTCAATTCCACTTGCTGATTTGAATGGAAGGATTATATGGATGTGGTGAAAATGCAAATCATTTGAGACATTGAGGTTACCTTACGTGTTCTTGCGGTTCCAACTTGCTGCTGGTACTACCTTTCTTGGCTTCAGTTGACGAACAGTGCAATTCACGTTGATGTTCTGAACTCATAGACCTTTCAAGAATGTAGAGCAGAGTCCTCTGTAAGAAAAAAATCATGGCTGAGATCAGAAGAAGAAGACTCATATTTATGAGAGGAGATTTAGACCCTGGCTTATAATTTTAACGAAACATGTTAGAACAATGGTGGGGCGATGATGGCTGCAGATCTGGTGATGATAATAAATGTGGTGAATGAGGTGGGAACGGCAATAAGCAGTGATGAGAATCTGAATGAGGTGCAGCAACAGTGGCTGTGGCAACAATTGCTGACAGCAGCCCTGTAGTCATCGGTGTCAACAGTCGGGCGTTTATAACATACAAAAAAGGATCATTTTGGTCTCAAACCCACGTTTTTCTCGGATGTAAAATCCTGTGAGAAGAAAAAGGGAATTAAAAATTGCAAAGATAATAAATTCACAACCTTATTTACTCACACAGAGGACCAACCTCAAATTTTAGACAGCATGAATTTTGAAAACAATATTCCTCCTCCCAAACAAGAATCGTCACATATTTCTACACAAACATCAAAACTGAAGTATCGGTTCCTATCAATAATAAATAACCAAAGAAGCTATTCAAATGTCCTAGTCACTGTATTCTTCTTCAGTGTCATCATCGTAGTAGTCCTGATCACTATCACCATCACCATAGTATCTATCATATATAAGCCCTATTAACTTCTGCTTCGTCAGTTTCTCTTGAATTTGCTCTCTGATAGTTGTTCCCTGATAGATATGCAAAGCAAAATGTGCCATAAGCATGCAAAAAGAAATCATCCATGCGCATACACTACCACCTACTTAGTTTGGGCCAGGAAACAAAGACTGACCATTTTATGACAGCGTTCTTCAAACATTTCAAGAAATCCAGCGACCAATCTATCAGCATTCTCAACCCACTCATTCCGATGCACACAGGCTGTTTTAGCAGCTACTTGTATCTGCCGCATGAGGGCAGAATTTATCAATCCAATTATAAAAAGCCATCTGCCACGTGGTAGTGATGCATATAATTGATTTCTGGTTCTCTTCTATTGAATGGAAAGTGGTGCACAACATTAATGGTAGCATCTCACAAGAATATTGATTAGCTAGGCCTACTCATCTTTAAGTAAAACCACCACTAGGATTTGTTAGAGAAGCAAACTTGAAGAGGGATGGGGGGCAGATGTGGGGTGAATGAGGCTCCAAAGGCCAAAGGATCAATTGGAGCAGCATTACACTAATAACTTGCATCATGTGTTTCCAAAAGGGATGCCAGCATAATGAATGGATGGTTCAGTATAACAGATTATGCTTACAAAACACTTTCAATACTGATCCTAACAGCAATATGCACGTGCTTAATAAAGTAGGTGGCTGCTATATGGTCTAATCTTAACCCAAATAACCAAACTGCTTCAACAATTAATTTGAACATCAGATCGCACCAGGATGGAAAGTGGGCAAAGATTAAAGTCAGACACTTCAAACCTAAAACATTAGTTCTAAATGATGCTATACTACAACATAACATGAGCAACCATTGCACATGGGTGAAGCAAGAAATCTTGTTTTGTTGAGAGCAATCAGTTAATTTCTAGCCCCCCTCTCCTTAATCTATTTGACTAAATTCATATGGTATTACTTGGCTGCAGAAGCAAGAATGTGGGAAGAAAATCAATGATCAAGCAACAAACGCTAAGGCTTCAAGGCTACACATCCTAATTCGCAACATGCTATCCAATATTTGCAACAGCATTCAATCATGCAACTTGTCCTGATAAATGGAGAAATTTATGTGTTTCAATATAGGATGCACATAAGAAAATTTCTGAAGCTTCACAAAATCAGTCTGTACAGAAGCACTTAAAACAATCCTTACAGCAGATAATTATTGCAAATCTAAATTAAGAGATGCTACAATGTAAAAAAAAAAATGATGAATTTCTTGGCTGGTGTCAAGTTCTACACTAGAGTGATGACTGCTAGATTTCATAATACTGTTTGCATGCCAGACCATTTTTTGGGTCTTTCTAAAATTAGTTTGTCCTATACTGCCTCCACTCTTCAGCACATGTGTGAAACAATATTTAGGGTTTAATCCTTGTTCTTCGCACAATTACATCTAATCTAAAACAAGGAAAGGGAAAACAAAATGGCATGGTGAATTCATGACAAGAAAAATAATATTATTTATCAATTTTGTACCTATCCCTCCAACAAAGAAGCACAAAGTCTCACATGCAACAAACTGTCAAAACACGTGCCATGCAAGGTCACTATTAAGTATTAGCAATTTTGCAAGACAATTTGCATACCTTTTCCCCGACTATCTCTTGCTGTTGCTTCACTTTCTCACGCAACTTTTTAAACCCCATGTTAACTCTTAGCCGCTTTTCCTAGTAAAAGAGGATGAGGAACGAAAAAGATCAATTCTCCAGCAAGAACACAATGGTCAGAACTCAGAAAAGAGAAAGCAAATAAAGTAAAGCAAACCTTCACATAGCTGACACCCAAATCTTTTCTTGTATATCCACGTGCCAAATTACGCATCACATACTCATTATAATCTTTAACTATCCTCATTATAACATCTGACGTGGAGATCCCATCAGTCCGCTTTGTTTCCTTAAATCTCCCAACAGATTTGACCTGTACAAACATTTTGTGGACATGCATTCTGTTGAAACTAGTCATACTTTGTTGTAATGGTGATGAGGCTATTACGTAATCATGATTTGACCTGCCATTTCTATGGATTTCATGCACATGAAAAGTCATCAAAACCACGGGAAACTATAGTAGAAATGAACAAAAAATTGGCAAAATGATTTGGTCATGAACATTTAAGAAAAGCCTTATAAAGTTGACTAAGGAAATTGATAGAAAAGGTACAGGTCAAGAAGCAACAATTTGAGTGAGAAAAAAGGCATCCTAACAGCAGCATTTTTATGATCACGGATAGATTTTGAAGGAGAAGAATGGCAAAATATATTTTTCCCATTTCCATTAGTGGAACGGTTTCAAATGTACAAGATGGTTAAATCAAGAGAAATTAAAAAATAAAAACAATGAACCAGTCTTTACCAAGGCAGGTAATGCCAACATTTGTAAAACAGATAGTCATATACAGCTCAGCAAACAATCAACCAAAAAGTTTAGACATATTTCCCTCTTATGTATGAGGAAATAATCACGAAGATGGTCCCTATGGCTGTGAGAAAATACAGGTAACACTGATGATATGATAGCAAAAGCTTCTAGGTATTAGTTCTTGCACATAAAAGATCAGCCATGGTGATGGAAGAGGAGATGAAAGCTATGAAGTAATGAAGTGAGCCAGATAGGAATGATGCACAGATAGAACCAGAATTTTATTCAGATCACCATTTATTGAAAGGCTTTATCAAGCCATGGTGAGACTATTCTTGTGATTAGCAAAGCTCCGCTATCACTAAACTTACAAATTCATAGACATCCTTTCCAGCCCCACTTGCATCAGCATAACTGCAATTTTTGGGCAAACAAAAAACAATTAACATATTAAAAAGCAAAAGGAACATAAACAAGAACAAAAAAAACTCAAGAGCACATGAATGCATGTATTATGGTACAAAATGCAAAATGAAAGCACTACCAAAATAACATGTCAAATGAGGGCAAACAAGAAAAATTAAAATAGCAAGGAACATAGGGAAGTTAAATGAACAATTTTATGTAACAGAATCAACAATGCACTTGTTGTAACTTAGATAAAATGGAAGGAATCAAAGAAGCAACCACTACAGATAGGGTCAGTAAATTAATTTGAAGTAGGTCTTGAACATGTGATGAACGTATGCACATGGGGATAAATTTAGTTTCCATGCAATTTCACAAATGGTTCAACTAAAAGTTAACATGTCATCTAATTCAGCAATGATTTTCTTCTTCAAATAGAAAGACCAAAACAATGCAAGCATGCAGTTTCCATGAATTTTTCTTCTTTTTTTTAATTGTTGGAAGACAAGCAGACAAGTCCATTTGGACTGATGAACCTTACGGAAGAGAGTCATGAGCCACATAGTCGATCCTATGTTTGTCGAGAAACTCTTGTGTGATAACCCATGGTGCATCAGGGATAACTTCATCAACCCACCTGCAAAATTTACAGTCAGTCAACGCCACATGCACTCTATTCCCAGTATAGAAATTTCACTTGTCCAAATTTGATATCTAGGATAAAAGTAGACAACTAGGTTTTGGCAGCAGACAAGTTCCCGGTACGAAACAAGTCAACAAATTAAAAATGTGAAAATAAAACTTGTGAAAAAATTAACCTGATCAATTAGCCCTGTTTTTCATTGATCACTATGAATCTGCTACCAGGAATACCAAACAGAGACAATGGGAAATTTTTTTCGCATGGCATACTATCTTGTGTGCAGTCTATTCAATTCAGTTTGTCGAAAATCATTGATGCCAGCAATGAGAGATTCACATCTGAAGTACGAAGGCAATCTATATCCATGAAAAGTGATATCTAGGACGCCACGAAAAGAACATAAATAGCAGTTTAAATCACTTGGGAACATTTTGTTACCCTTTTTCTTTCTTTCTTTTTTCAAACCAGAGAAATGGAGATTCAAAAATTGAAAGCATAACCTACCTGCAATGGCGAAGAGACTCGTAGCGTTCTTGATCAGTCATCACAGTTTTACCCTTGTATTTGTGAGTTACTTCATCATTGCAGCATCCAACCACCAAATACGTGTTTGGGAATCTATCAAATTAATTAATACTACTATTTGTAACCGAATTTTGAAAAAAAAAACAATAATTGAATTAAAACAGAAGACAGGGAGTGTGAGAGTGATAATAATTAAATAATTAAGATACAGTTTCTTGGCTTGCTCAAGAGAACGGGCATGGCCAAAGTGGAAGAGATCGTAGATGCCGTCTGCATATACTCGTACTGGCCTCTCCTCCTCCTCCCCCTCCTCCTTCGCTGCCTCTACTAGCCTCGAGCTCTTCTTCGCGTTATCTTCCTCCATTTATCTATTTATTTATTTTTGTTTTGTTTTATGGAGTGATTCTCTCTTCAACTAAAGAAAGAATGAAAACTTTATTTAGCGTTGCTGAGAACAGTTTTTTTTTTCCGGTTTGGTTACTTTTTTTTAATAAAAATCGAACCGAACCGAAAATGATCATAAAGAGGACACAAAAGAGAATAGGTCTTCTCCAATTATAATTTTTCCCTGAAAAACAAAAACCGGGACCCGAAGTCTAGAACACTTGAGGAAATTATCTGTTAATTTTACCATCAATTCTCCCATTGCCCTTTTTTTCATATGTAATTTGCTGATAATATAGTGTTTTTCTTTTCACGTTTCAATTCGAAAATCTTCTTCTTCTCGTGGATGCTTATTGTTTTTTCTATTTCATCCTATTCTATGAGCAACTGGGTCAAGCAAATTATAGCGATGGTAATTTCTTTTTTTATGCAATTCAGACGGGTCAATTCATCTTTTTAGTTTATTTTTTAAATCCAACTTAGCCTAGATTCTGGTCAATTAGGTTGGTCAGGTTGGTCCCAATTCTTATATCGATGATATTTTCAATTTTTTTAGATTTATAAAAATAATATTTTTTTATTTTTATTTAAAAATATTTTTTTTTATCAAACTTTAAAAATATTAGACATGCTTTTTATTTTAATGTCATGAGTAGCCCTTGTTTTTCCTTTGATGTTAATATAGGGTTTTTTTTTTTATTTAAATTCAATACTTTACTCTTACTTTTAATTTTATCATGTTAAGTTAATTAAGAATTAAATATTATAATTTTTTTTGTTATGTATTTGTAAGTTTTTTAAAATCTCAAACAGATATCTTGATATTTAATTCGTTCTTAATTTTATAGGTGTTTATTTTTTTTTATCATAGAACTAAATAAAAAAAATCATTGAATCCAATTGAGTTCATGACCTTAATCTATATTTATCTTTTAATTTTTATAATTTCATCTTTAGTTAACATTAATGTCTTGTTTTTTCATTGATTGAAAGTAAAACATTCTTCATTTATTTAATTATATGCATGCATAAAGTTTTTAAATTTACACTTATAATTTTTTTCTGTAAAACAAAAATTTATACTTATAATTTTTTTCTGTAAAACAAGTGTGTCAGAAAAACATAAATATTCAAATTTTTTTTTTGGAAAAGCAAATATCTGATCTTTGGAGGAGCGCATATAAAATAACTAGTAAGAGATTTAAAAAGATGTTGGAAAAATATTATATCAATCCATAATTAAAAAGATAATTTCAACCTTCACAAAACAATTCACATAACTGGCTATCGAGGGGTATTATAACCTTTTCATAAAGGTTTCTTATTAAAATTGATGCCTAGAGTCATTTTGTATTTTAATTTTTTTAAGAATAATTAAATGACTTAAATGCTCTTAGAAGCGGAATTTTATTTAGCTTATATTCAGGAATATTTAAGCATTTTTCACTTTTTTTTTGTTTTTGTTATTAGGGTAATTTTGTAATGTAAAAATATAGATATCATTAAAAAATTTATTGACATGTATAAGGCTATCTAATAACCAAATGTTACCTTTCATAGCAGCGTTAAAATCGTCTTAGCATCCCCTCTACAATGAAATGATGAGTGTGGCCAAAGAGCGGTTGGTTTGCTATTGACGACCTTTCCTTTCCTTTTCTTTTTTCTTTTCTTTCTCCTTCTCAAGCTTGGCACCTGCCCTTTGAAATTTTAAAATAGCCTTTCAATTTGTTATTCCTTTATATTTGGTCATTGTTCTTTTGATTAATATTATTTTTATTTCAAATAATTTATAATTTTTTTTTTAAATTTCATCCCTTGTCAATTCCTATCAAATTCAACCCTCATTTTTTTATTGTTATTTCTTTTTTTTTTGTGATTTTTTATTTTATTATTTAACATTAAGTTGATTGATAATTAAGATTCTTAATTGAGTCAAGATTTAAGATTTCACGAGTTATGAGTTTTAGAGATTAATCCAAGTTTAGAAGATTTGTCCGTATTTGCTTGATTTTTTTTAAACTCGTGTTTTTTTATTTCATCATTCAATATCTATTTAATTGAAGATTGGACTTTATTAATTTTATTTATTTTTGCTTCCTATAGGATTTTTCATTTATTTTAAGAATGACTTGGGTAATCCCATGAGTTTTTATTTTTTGTTATTAGCTTTTTTAAAATATATAGTTTTTTAAATTTAATAAATTATAAACATGAGATATTTATTTCATGATATTTTGTTAACTCATATTTTTTTTAATTTCATCATTCAATATTTATTTAATTAAAAATTAAATTTCATTAATTTTTTTTTGCTTTCTTTATCATTTTCTATTAATTTAAAATAATTTAGGTTACCTTGGTTTTTTTAATTGTTCTTTATTAAATTTAGTTTTTTGCAAAGATATTTTATTTTTTAAAATTAAAATAAATCAATTAATTAAACATAATATGAATATTATTTTGTTTGGTTTTATAAAATATTTAATGCAAAAAATATTTTGGATGCAAGCAAGGCAGTGGTGTATTAATTAAATAAAAAAAATATTTTATAAAATATTCTAGGTGCAATCATCATCTATAACAACTCCTTTCTGTTCTCTGCAGAATATATCATAATTCTTTCAGAGCATTCAAGGGTCCATGCATGAAATTCTCATGCATACTGTCAAACAATCACACAACCTGCTTTACTTGACTGATGCAAAAGACAACTACAAAACCATCACTGGTGGTGGTAAGAAGTAGAAATATTTTTTAATTGTTTATATAATAATTATTAGAAATTTATATGATAATTAATTTTATAATTTATAAAATTAATCGTGATAGGTGCAAGTTGGTCCGGACATCCACAAAACAAAAACATTTACTAAAACATCACATCATTATACCTGAGCACGGAAAATTTGATCTGAATAAATCAGCGACCAAATTCCACAATATATTACATTACTGATTGTTCTGTGCACCGTGGTCCTTGAGCCCATGACTTGTCCGATTCCAGGCAATGCAGCATTGCTTCTGTTTAGCACAGTTCTATAGACGAATATTACGCACGCCAGTGTCGATAATTTACAATGATAAAGTGATGTAATGTGGTTTGAAGCCAATCTAGCTGATCAAACCCATGCCACTTTCACCGCTATGGTGCTTGGGTACGATATGATATGTTTTCGGCCGCAGAGATAGCACTAGGCAATTCTACTTGAATGAAGTGCTCCATTTTGTCTCACTCCTTCGTTTACAAAATCTCTGGTTATTTTACGCAATGTATCAAAGAGAACTTAATCAGTACCAGCAATCTGCAACCTCATCTTGTGTGTCCTGCACCTGCTGCTTCTTTGGAGGTCCACATGTTTTCATGCATCCTCTAAACCGGTCTTTCCCAGGTTTGGCAAGATCAACAAAAATTAACCTGCCATCAAGAGTCTGATGATAAAAGGTCAAAACAACATGAGTTTTCCAACTTCAAAGTTCCTGAAAAGACAGTGTAATGTGATGGTTCCAAACCTTACGGTCCATATTTTCCAGGGCAAGGATGGCATCATCCTGAGAAGTGTATTGAATAAATGCATATGGTTTGGACCTTTTAATGGTTTCATCCTTCACAAGCTTCACTGTCATAGATTGAAAATAAAAGGTTATGTAAAAGGTTACAAGCCTTGAAGCCTGTGTTGGAATTGCAATGGGAATCTTTTAATATTATAAAACTTCAAATTTAAGCCTTTTTTTTTTTAACAATGAGGAAAGACGTATTTACCTTCAGCTATTTCACCAAAATTTGAAAATTCCTTTTGCAAAGTAGCTTCACTGATATAATGTCCTATATCTGCAAGTCAAAACTCATAACCAGTACTTCAAAGGAGATTAAAAAAAATTAAAACATCCCTATAAGATTATGAGAAGTTTGACCATCAATGAAGGTGCAAAAAAACAAGCACACTCACACACAAGAAAATTGTTTGCAATGATATTCTTATTTCTTGGCTAGACGCATAGAAATCCTTGTCCAAATAGTCCACTATCCTTATTATGAAACTCATGATACTATGCACAACTCTACAGTATAAAATGTTCTCTTATTGGCGTGTCAATTGTCTTTGTGGACCTTTGATATTCTTTCAAATACCAAAATTAAAGAAAACACACGAGTTCCACTAGAAAGAAAGAGCTTGGACTGTAGAAATAGTTTCTCTTCTCCATATTACTTCAAAAGGTGCATGGATTAATTGTATTTGGAGCAGCATTATATATTGACCAAGGAATTGAGACATGAAGAAAAGCCATCCCAGTTGATTTATACCATGACACTTAACTCTCGCCTAAGAATAGAAGTTTTGAGGCTGGACACCTTGAGACTCCCATGTGTGAGGTTAACTGAGCATTTGCAAACCTTTGCAACAAGTTAAAGATAAACAAGGGCAGAACTTGGATGAATTTCTTAAAGAGTTCTTGGTTATGATATAAGTACGGAATTAAAAAGGGACAATATTGGTAGTTTTATGAAACAAGCTATTGTAAGTTTGAAAAAGTATTCTACATGCTGCCCCTGAAGACAAATGCTAGAGGAGAGAATTGTGAGCCCAACAACAAGGTGACTACCTCAGCAGATGGCAAAGTCACCAACATTTAGATTGTCCTTCTAATTCCTATCCTTGTTTTGAATTTGAATTGCCAGAGTCAACTAAGGATGACCAATAAAAATTCAAACCCCATGTTGTGAGCATTCTAACCGCTTGATTAGACTTGCAAAAAATAGATGAAACAAATTTGAAACTGAACACTGAAGACGTAAGATTCCATTAGAATTTTTTTTTTCTTCTTTGAACAAAGTTAAAATTTTTTATGCAGATGAACACCACTTCTAGAAGTAAAACCTGATTGCCAGAAACATCTCTTCTCCCTATAGAAGCCACAATGATGGTTATAAGGAAAAGAAAAGGAGCTATTGTTGATGGTGCATCTTCGGACTCAATGTTTGACAATTAGTTTTCCAACATTTTCAGGAATAAAGGAAATGCAAATTCTAGAAAACCTTTAATAAAGATGTGCATTGGCATCAAGATTTTCTTTGTACCATCGTAATAACCAAATCTGTGCTGACTAGGACTGGGTTTCATGGATAGCATTCATCCTTACAGAACTATGACATATTGAGTCCATGATTTTGTGATCAGAAACTCAGTGCGATTTAAGCTCACTTATTTGAGCCAATAATATCTTTAACCTCAGTTAATTGCACATATTACATGAATAACATTCAAGCAATAGCCCATAGGACTACCTTAGTTCAGTCAGCCCTTAAGCATGCCAAATATGAACATGTTTCAGTCTTACGCAGGGAATGGAAGCACTTGATGCAAACCAATCTGTTTCAGAAGCAATGCTGAAAAATCATTCCAAAGTCACTGCCAAGACTCATGGTTCTTTATAATTACCCAAAACCCTCTTCTGCAACCAGTAAAGGACCTGGTCCTGAAAAAATAAGACGGTGGTTTTCACTGATACTTCGACCTTTTTTTTTCATGAATAGCATGGGCAGGTTCTATGATAATGCAAGCCCTATTATTCTCCATGATACTCATTCTTTCAAGCATAACAGACTCAAACTTGTATCTTTTACAAACTCCATTAGTTATCATTTTCATGAATAGCATGGGCAGGTTCTATGACCATGCAAGCCCTATTCTCCATGATACTCATTTTACCCAGCATAACAATCTCAAACTTATATCTTTCACAAACTCCATTAGCCATCATTTTCCTCGGGAAATTTTTTTGAAAAATTCTGGTACTTCTTTCCATCATAAGTAAAGCAAGTGCAACGAATTCCATCATTTACCTAGACAAGCACATTGGCCTGCAAAATGATTCAACTTCCTGCATTAGCAGTAAAGCTAGCACCTTGGAATATTTTATTCTTTCACCTCCACAGACCAAACATTACCAAGGCGTGGATATTCCTAGGATTATTTCCTGTAAAGATCAATGTAAGCATTCACAAGCTTCCCCTTTAAAGCTAGCAAAACAACTAAAGCTCACGCAATTGAAGCCTAAGCAACATAGGGATCAAACTACCCAACAACTTTTTGTTCAGCATGTATACTTGGATTGTATAAACTAAATGGTCCAAGCCTCAAATAACTTCAATACTATTCAGAAGTCGTCTTCCCACCGTTAATCATGCAAAAATATAGTATTTGGCCTCATCTCATCGCCTGAGCAGTTAGCACCTCTGTCTCCTTCGGGAAACCTTCTATTCTGTTTGAAAGCAAACTTGAGAAATCTAACTTTTTGCTCAAAATAACCAAACAAAGTGCCTTCATTGGACCAATCAGACCCTGGAACTATTCTCAAGATCACCTAATTGCAACTAAAATAAAGTACTGGATGATAATTTATTGATGGTGCTCAAAAGCAAAACAAAGAATTTGATTTCTTTATTCGGCTTCCGCAAGAAAAGTTTATTCAATTATCTATTTTAACATATATATTTTTTTCACGACAATAAACAAGAAACTACAAAAGAAAAGTAATCCAAAGACCCCCACAAATTAACAGTCAAAGAAGTGACTTACTTGTAACCATAATTCTGCTTGCAAGAGGAAAACTAGGGTTGGAAATTGATGCCCTGAGGTTCAAAGTCTTTGGGTTCTTGAAATTTCTTTGAGATACTGCGTTTGCCAACGAGGGTATGGGGATAGAGACGGTTGAAAGCGGTCTTGTTTGAGACATCATCAACATTACCTCCATGTCTTTTCTCTTTTCCAATTCCTTACTTGCCTTCCTTACTTGCCTCAGTCGTAATTCGAATCCCAATTAGTTGCTCTATGCTGCTGCTGCTGCTTAGAACTTCCGGTTGCCCGACTCAACGACCTAAGAGCATCTCTGAGAAACTGTGTAGAAGAGCCAAATGGTAATATAATCTTTTTTATATCTGTACTTTAAAAAAATCTTTTTAGAAAAGCTATTTGTATTTTAATATATTTAATATTAATATAACTATTTATTTATTAATAGTAATTAATTAATACAATTTCATTTAAAATATTTTTTTCATAAAAATATATTAAACAAATTTTTAATTCTTTTGACTGATATATAAGAATAGCTCTTCAACTTTTAAATGCTATTTTTGACTCTCTAATATAAATCTCTCATTTGGAGCTATAAAAATAAAGGATGAAAGCTAAAATATTGTCCTTTTTTTTTAGCTCTTCCCTTAAAAATACTCTAAAAAGAAATATATGTTATTGGTTTGCTTTATTATTACTCTTATATACTATTATTATTACTATTATTTATTATTATAATCATCATTATTAAATAAATTAAAATATATTATTTTATTGCCTTTAAGAAAAAGTTTTTGCCATTTTATCCTTGAAGTTTGCATTTCTTTCTATTAGCTCTGGTTATGTGTATTTCTTTTTAATTATATTTTTTAAAAATTATATTTATTTTTTTATTCTCTTAGTTTTTTAGAGTGTCGTTAAATATTTTGATTTTGATGTCTATAAATTTGATTAGCATGCCATTCAATCTTTTACATTAACAATCATTAAAATCTTTTCCATGTGAAATTAGCATGCCATTCAATCTTTAAACAATTTTCAACACGTCGAGCACGCATAAATATGAAATCTAAAGAGAATGAAAAAGGATGGAAAAAAGCTGTTAATTGTAAACATGGAAAAAAGATTATTAATTGTTGTCAATGTCCATTTTAGTTCATGCTCTTTGAATTTTTTTAATCAATAAAACCTTTTCCATGTGAAATTGTCATGCCATTCAATCCTAAAACAATTTTTGGTATCTACATTTAAAGAGAATGAAAAATATGCAATTTAAAGAGAATGAAAAAACCTAGAACAACAATGAAAGAATTTTTAAAAACACATACAAATATGTAATTTAATTTATAAACAATTTTCGACACCTCAGATATATGTAAAATATATAATTTAAAGAAAATGAAAAAATCTAAGATAACAATAAAGAAATCTTGATAATTAAATTGAAAAAAATTATAATAAAATAACAAAATTAAAAAAAAAAACCAAGCGAAAATGAAATTTGCATATATGAATAGTTTTATATAAGAGGAAGAACAAGGAAGCTACCATGAAATGCCATCCTCTTTTAATTTCTTAGTCAATTTTAACGCTTGCAAGTCGTATATCTATATTTTAGCATTCCATGAATTAAAAATAAAATAAAATTCGATGGAACGGTTATATTATTACAATAATTTTGCTTCATTCATGTATGCTTCCATCATTAATTTTTTAGATTCAAATCTTGGGGTTAGGGATGTGTTTTGAAAATCTTCAAGAATCGGTATAGAACACTTGAAAAACTGGAAGGGCCACATAACACTTGACCGAAATTTTGAACTTCTGCTTAAAGGATTCGAACTCGAGAACTCCCCTCAGCCGCTCAGCATATGCTTGCAAAACCCCCCTCTCCCCCCTCTCTCTCTCTCCCTGCACTTCACTAATCACTAGGGTTTTAAAACCTCTCACTCTCAGGTACTCTCCCTTCCTCTCTGGATCTACTTTACTTAATTGCAGCAAAATCTGATTGAACAATGATCATACTTCGTCTAATTAGGTGGTCTCTCCTAACATACAACTTTCTGTTCGTGAAATCCTACATAAATCTCTGCCTGAACAAATTATGTGGGGTTATTGGGGAATTGATAAATTGATAAATTGATAAATTTCATTTTTTTCTTCTGCAATAAAAGCTATTGCATGCTGTGTGACTGTTAAAGCTTTAGTATTTGCGTCTCCAGTCTTAAATTTCAGCTATTGTTCTTTGTGCTGCGGGGATTATTTATCTATTACTGTTTATAATTATGTTTTTGGTGGGGATTTCAGGCCATATAGTTTGTCAAGCAGAAGCTGAAAAAAATGGGTTCTTTGTAGATTTTTGTTTGCCAATTAAAGTGGAGAAGGTAGGAGTTTAAAACTTTCCAAATGAGCTTGATTTCAAGATTAAGGCATTGTTTACCCAATGGGTTTTCTACAAAACCCACGATCCCTCCTTTAATGCCATTGAATTTCAATGCTGTGCTATCTCGGGGTTTTGCTGAAGCTGCTAGGAAAGTCGAGGAGGAAGAGGAAGAAGAGGTGGAAATTGATCAGAGGAGGCTCCCAACTGATTATGATCCGGCTACTTTTGATCCTACAGAGCATCGGAGTCCTCCAACAGAGCGTGTTTTCAAGCTTGTTGATGAGATTGCAGGGCTTACGTTGATGGAAATTTCTGAACTGGGAACCATTATAATGAAAAGGATGAAAATGACAGAACCACCAACTATTGGCGTTTTGAAGGGTGGTGCTGCTGGATTAGCTGGAATGGCAATGAAGGCACCAGCTGCTGCTGCTGCTAAAGAAGAGAAGAAAGCTGAGAAGACTGTTTTTGAATTGAAATTGGAGTCCTTTGAAGCAGCTTCAAAGATTAAGGTAATTAAGGAGGTTAGGAGTTTTACTGATTTGGGCCTTAAGGAAGCGAAGGACTTGGTGGAGAAGACACCATCAGTGTTGAAAAAAGGAGTATCAAAGGAAGAAGGTGAGCAAATAATTGAGAAGATGAAAGCTATTGGGGCCAAAGTCGTGCTGGAATGAATAGAAGCCATGCGATTACCTTCAGGAATTTTCTAAATCCAGTTACTATTTACTTCAGAAACTTCCATTTCTCATGTTTACCGAATTTCAATTGAGGATTTGTTGGCCCTCACTCTCTTACAGAGTCCATCCACGAGCGCTTGAAGTTTGACATTTTTATATACAATGTTGGATAGGCGTGTGACTCAATAGGTTTTTTTGTTTTATTTTTTTTAATGGAGGATAATCTTAACTGTGTGGCTTCAAATGTTCTTTTATTCCATTTTCTTCCTCTACTGTTACATAATTTTGAATAAAAGAAACCTAAATTGGGCCAGAATTATTTCTTATCGATAAATGAAAATAAATCAGGCTAGAATGTTGCATGCTGTTTTTCACTATGCTTCTTTTATATGGATATCCAGTGTCCATTACCGTTTGGTGTTGTCTCTGCAAATCCTCCACCCTCCACCAAAGTGTCTTAACTTCGATAAGAAAGAGCAAGGGACTTCTAGTGACAGGAAGCAGTGTAGGATTATGATAATAATTTCCTTGTATGACGTTTGAGTAGCTCATTTCGAAGTGTAGATGGGATTTGCTGCCTGTGGAACCAATCACAGACGACGAAGCAGCCAAGATTGAAATTCGAACTCTGGAGGAGTTGGGAAAATATACTATCCTATATTGTTACCTAAGAACTTTTTCTAGTTGCTAACATGATTGCAGAGAATTCCTTGAAAGTATTTCCTTTCCACAGTAGCCGCCATTGTTTAGGTTACACATGAGGATGAGTGGAGTGTTGCATCTTACAATGATTTGGGGTTCTCATGTGTTCACGGTGATTACTGTACATGACTAGGACCATCCAGGTGATTGGAGTCGATGTTACTGAATATCACACAGCAAGATGGAATTCTTGAATGAAGCGGCTTCTGAACTTGGGATTTCTCTAACAGCTTTGATGTTACTAACATGACAGATTCATCTTTTATTTTATCACTAAAATAATTTCCATCACTTATCCCGCAATACTGAAGTTTGTTTGCGCACGTAATTGAAGATTTTAGATCTAAAATCGCTGTTACTAAAATGATTTGAGACCAACCCTCGCAGCATATCCTAAACAAGAACTCGGCATGTGTAATCTTTAATGGTAATGTTTGGGAGTATGGTAAACTATGGAGTTTATATAATAAATTGGCTTCGAAGCCCGAATCGCTCATGAAACACAAGGTCACATAAAATTTGGATGATTACATCTAAAAAGGTTATTAAGCCTGAGATTGACATGGATTCAAATACGAATAAATCATATTGATTTACCAAAAAACCCAAGAAGTTCACTAAATACATAGTTTACTTCAGCTACAATAGTTTAATAAGAAACTATTCATCAATTCATGTAGTAATAAATCATGAAGAGTTATCATAAGGAACTATAGAAGTTCACATCGAGATATCAAAGATTTCGAGAAAACATTAAATTGCAATCAAAGTAAAAGCAATAAATAAACCAAAAGAATGCAATGAAAACATGTAAATAAAGCATAAACTCGTGAAAGTAAACTGCAATAAATAAATAAATAAAGATATAAATAACTCGTAAAGTAAATTATAAAACAAATAAATTGATATTTATTTTTAATATCAATAAAAAGCAAAACAATGACTTTCAAAACACATAAAAAAATTATATTTTTTAATAATATAGTTTACATCATATTTCCAAACATTTTTATATTCCACTTTAAAATCAAAATAATATTCTAGTTTAGTCAAAGTATTTTAAAGTCATCATTCTTGTCTCTCTCTCTAATATTTACTTTTAAAAACAATATCATAGAATGAACTATTCGATGTTTTAATTAGTTTTGCAGTCAGTGGATTTTTTTTAATTTACTTAGGGGTAAGGTGATGCTTATGGTCAACGATTTTACCTTGCAAATGCTGTCTAGAAATGATATGGATACTCATTTTTGTTGCACATATGAATTTGAAGGCTAAAATAAAGGTATAACTTTTTAGGGAAAACTACACTAACCCTCCTATAATTTAATCATTTTTTTTTTTACTCTTGCCTCCTTTCTTTCAGCAGTTGTAGTTTACATTATGGAGCTTATAAGCTTATTACACTTTACATATTTATTCATGTGCGCAAAACAAAATAAAATTAAAAAATAAAATTATTTACAAATTATTATTATATTCTAATTAATAACTAAAGAGCATTTAAACTATTTGTGAGGAACTCGACGAGAACATTTAGGAGTTTAAGATTAATGTTAGGATTTAGAAAATTTGAGAATTTATATATAAGGGTAA